AAGTTGACATTTTGGAGCTTCCCTTGGGCCACACATTCCAAATTTTATTAATCTCTAATGCTGAGTATCACACTGGCACACATGAATGCAAGTGCGTGCCGAAGTATGTACACACACACACACACACACACACACAGAGGCATGCGTGCCCCAATCCTGCATATTAGTTACTGGCCCAGACCCATAAGCCTATTAAAATACCTTTTTGCAGTACTTGAGTGGTAAAATGTATCACTTGTATTAACATTTTGCTTGATCTTCAGAGAAGACAATATTCTATACCATACATACTTTCCCAGTGATTCATTCTGCCCCAGATTTAACCTTCGAGAAAGTATGGACTTTTTAAAAAGTTTCTTTGCAAAGTATAATAGCTCAGCCAAAGATTTCATGAAATATTTTCCAGTTGCTATGTGGCCTTAGCCTCCTGATGAAAATAAATTCCAGCCTAGAATACATTTGATAATCTTTGCCAGTGTCCTGGGTTGGTGGTCTTGAAATTCTACAATTGAGTGGAAAACTGTTAAATGCTTGGGCTTTAGTGCATGTCTAATTCATTTTTTGCAGGGTTTTAGTTCTTTAAAAGTGTTTAAAACATGGTTTCACTGTATCATTTAATATTGCATGGTTTTGTGGAAATAAATTGTAGAAGTTTGATTCCCAAGCAGTTCAGAGAGTTATTTCTCTTTTGCTTACTCAGAAAGTATACAGGAGTCTCCTAAAAGTTAGTCAAAATAATAGAAAATGGCCACTGGTATTGAGCGTCTCAGTTTTCAGATGTCTGAGGTAGAACTTTAAGTGACAAAGATGAGGCCCACACCATCAGTGACTACCTTTGAAAGTATGGCTAGAAATCTTCTTCGTGTTTCTGTTAGGAGGAATCTGGTTAAAGAGTGTGTAAGGTATGCATGGTGTTAGGATTTTATCACAATCATACATCTATTTGTTTGATTTCTCTAAGTACCAAAGTGGATCTAATTCTGAAAGAAAATAAGGACTCTTATTCCATGTGTGGCAAATCGAGCTATTCTTTATCTTGACGTTGGTGTTAAGCACGGGTGGATGTAGGATTTTGAAAAGTGTGGGGAGGAAGGGAGAAAGAGAGAGATGATGTGGTGCATCATTTTTCTCCAGTTAAAGAGAAACAACGAGCTTTGCTAATACGTTAGGGGCCTAGTGCTATATAATTCAGTTTAAGATCAAAGAAAAACAAACTTTATTGGAAAGTGCTCTCATTTTCTAGATTATATATTAAGTTTAAAAAACACAACAAACTAGGAAAAACAAACAAAAGATATTCGGCATTTATACACACACTTTTTTTCCAGTGATGTGCAAGAGATCTGCCGATTAATCGATTCAATTAATTGACTCTGCTCCACAAGCGAGCCGAGGCAAACTGCACTGTGCTGCGTGCAGTTGTACTAGCAGCGAAATGTGCGCCAGCACGCAGAAAATGGCAGTGGTGCACTTTTGATCTTAAGCACCTCTGAAGTGTTTTAGTTCAAAAGTGTGCCACCGCCATTTTCTCCATCTGATGTGCATTTTGCTGCTTATACAACTGCATGTGTCGGAGTGCTGGGCATTTTTCAAAACACCCAACGCTGTGACACGCGTGTAAAAATGCCCATTATTTCAATAGTTCTGTAGTTATCACAGTACGTGTGGTTAAATGTACATCTCTTTTTCAGATTCATAAAACAATATCTAGCCTTTCTGAACATCCTGAGGGTGCATCCAATACTTCACTTACAGTCATTTCTATACGTGAGTTAAGGTTCACTTGGGTTAATATTACCACCTGAGTTAAGCTAGAGCTAAAAACAATCTGCATGGCTGAGAATTAGAAGGGAGACTTTACCAGGAATGACTAACAGGCAGCAAAATTACAAAAAAAAGAATAGCTTGAATAGAGGGAAATCAAGACCCTTAAAAAGGACAAAAGGTCATTAATACCTGTGGAGTGAAGAGAGATGTAGAGGAATCAGGTAGATTATAAAGAACCATGAAATCTGTTGACTCCCTCAGTGCTGCCTGAATAGAAATGCTGCTGTCCTTCCCAGACATTTGGTTTTAAAGTTTGGATAGAACAGGAATTAAAGGAGGGATGCAGGTACTAGTCTGGGTACTGGTAAATCTCCATGGAGGCTAATAATTAAATCCTGGTTTCCCCTGATAAAAAATTGCAAATTCTCCCATAAAAAATTGCAAATTCTCTAATAAATAAACCCCGCCAAGTCTGTTATTAAAATTAAAGTCCACAGCCTTGCTGGTGCACCTCACCACCAACCCACAGCCCCTGCTCTCCCAGTCCTGCCAGTGGGTCCCGAGCTGCCAGGGCTACGGACCTGGGTCTGCAGCCCCTTGCCCTCGCTCCCCCCTGCTGCCTGCTGTGGGCTTGGGTAGTGGGGGGAAGCTCCCTGCCGCCATGCGCAGTTCCAGGGGACAGGAGGGGACCCAGGCCCCGCAGATCTGTACATGGGGAAGGTGCAGGCTGTGGATTTGGGCTCCTGCCCTGGGGCCTCCGTAGCCCAGTGGGCATGACCTGGCACAGCAGGGAACAGCAGAGCTGCATGGAGAAGCTGCTTGCTGCTCACTGCTGTGAGCTCTGTGCTGCCCTGGCTATGCGCCTCTTGCACTGTGCCTCTGCTTTGAGGGGCGCAACCCCGCACCACTGCTCTCACTGCAGCCCCGCGCCAGGGCAGTGCGGAGCTTGGAGCGGTGAGCAGCTTCTCTGCGTGGTTCTGCTGTCCCCTCCCACCCTGCTTCCCACCCCTGGGGCCTCTGCAGCCCTGCGGGCATGACCTGGCACAGCATGGAACAGTGGAGGCATGTGGAGAAGCTGCTCACCACTGTGAGCTCTGTGCTGCCCTGGTGACCTGCCTCCTATGCGTGGGGCTGCAGTGAGAGCAGCGGCATGGAGTTGCGCCCCTCAAAGGAGCAGCATACACAGGAGGCGTGTTGTCAGGGCTGTGGAGGCCCTGGGAGAGAGAAGCAGGGTGGGAGCCGAGCCCGCAGCCTGCGCCTGCCCTGAGAATGGATCTGAGGATCATGGGTCCCCCCCTGCTCCTTGGAAGTGTGCATGCCAGTGGGGAGCCAGCCCTTCTCCTTCCCATCAGCCTCCCCTCCCCTTCTCCCAGATGAGCCACCCATGGCTTGTCCTGCTCCCTGCTGGGACCCTGCAGCCACGCATTGTGGCCCCAGGCCCCAAGCTCCCAGCACCGCTCGGCTAGACAGCACCACAGCCCTGCCCAGCTTCCTCTCTCCCTCCCTACAGGGACGTCAATCTCCCTCTGCCTCTCCCCTCCCCCTTACCTGTTGGAGCTGCTCTGTAGGCTGCCTGGGGCCATGTGCATGTACATGCACATGGCACTCCGTCTCACTGCCTTCCCAGCTCCATGCAGGCTGGAACTCTGCCAGCCTGCAGGAATTTCATTGCAAAATCCGTGGGTTTCTCTGGTAAAATGAGAAATCCACATTTGCTTCCAGTAAAAGGTAAAATCCACAGTTTACTCCATTTTTCCATGGGTAACAGAAAACCCAGATTCCTGGTGATGAGGCTGAGAGATCAAACCTACACCATGAGGAAAGTTTTAATAGCAAGGAGTTTGGAGTGGATAGCTTCAACCTGTATCTAGGCGAGTAACAATCACATGTAAACCAGTAAGATTTTGTTAATACTGGTATTTATTAAGCTGTATTGAACCTTGACCATACTTCACCAATGCACTTCTGCTGTTAATGATAAATCTCAATCTCTTGCTGTTTATGGGTGAAAAGAGAAACCAGAATCTAAAACATGACTGGAGATAGTGGTCTTGTTTCTCTAAGTCATGTTACCCAACTTCAGCATTGCCTTCCTAAGAAGGAATATTTGCAGGTAGCTGTTTTTAGTATAAAGTCTGGGTCAGGTTTGACCCTGACACCTAATCTAGATTCTTGAGTCTTGAAGCTTAAAAGCCTGTTTTGACCTTGTATTCTGATATTAAAGGACCCATGTATGAGAGAGAGAGAGAAAGATGTCACTTGTTCTCTGCTCTATAATTGGGAAGTAAAAGTCTCTTGACAATGACATTATCTCTGGTAGCATTTACTTGGAGTGAAAGCTGTGGAATAGCCTCTGCACTTGAAGATGATCATTCTGAAGCTGTGGCTGCTCTGAGAGTTATTCTTCATAGATTTCATAGACATTAGGGCTGGAAGGGACCTCG